TAATGCTCACTAACGGGGATGTAAACAAATTTGTGCACAGAATTTGAGTGAAATAAGCTTTTTGTGTGTATGGAACATTTCTGGGATCTTTTATTTCAGCTCATGAAACATGGGATCAACACTTTACATGTTGCGTTTGTATTTTTGTTCAGTGTAAGTAGAAACAATTTATTTCAAAAGTGTTTCCATTTTTTATTTCTTAAATTAAAATCACTTCCTGAATTGAGTGCCTTTAATTCAAATTGACCACAATCCTGATGAATGCCTATCACCGTTTAACATGCTTTAATTTACTTGATTTAACTCTCTTGCCTGCTCTCTGTCTTTCTCTCTCTCCCTCCCTGTCTCTTCCTCTCACTCTCTCTCTCTCGTCAAAGCAGACAGAATAAACTTCACCCGTCTCGCTGCAATTCTTATTTTTCTGGCCATCACTCACATCACTCAAGGAGAGGTCAGCGATGACCACAACAACGAAACAAGCAGCGTCGCTCAGCCACTGCACACTACTGTAACGACTTGGCCTGAAAGAACATCATGAAGTCCTCCTTCAACACAACGAGTGGAGAAGGTACTGTAGGACCCGACTGACTACATAGTTCATAGATAAAAGACAACAAATATTGTTATTTGTAACGGAAGTAATGTTAATGTGGCATATTTTAAGAAAAGAGACACAAATCTATATATTGCATGGAAGTGGTACAAAACCACTTGAATCAACTTCCTCACAAGTACTGTATAGCTATAGCAGTATGCTAGGTGGTTTCGTAACAATAAGTGCAACATTAACATTCGGACTGAGACAGCTAGGCTAGGCTAGCTAGTTTTTCAGCTGCAAGGTCTGGGAGACTTGAGGGAATGATGAACGGAGCAAGGTACATAGAGATCCTTGATGAGTGCTCAGGACCTCAGACTGGGGCGAAGGTTGACCTTCCAACAGGACAATGACCCTAAGCACACAGGCAAGACAACGCAGTAGTGGCTTCGGGACAAGTCTCTGAATGTCCTTGAATGGCCCAGCCAGAGCCCGGACTTGAACCCGATCGAACATCTCTGGAGAGACCTGAAAATAGCTGTGCAGCGACGCTCCCCATCCAACCTGACAGAGCTTGAGAGGATCTGCAGAGAAAAATTTGAGAAACTCCCCAAATACAGGTGTGCGAAGCTTGTGGTGTCATACCCAAGAAGATTCAAGGCTGTAATTGCTGCCAAAGGTGCTTCAACAAAGTACTGAGTAAAGGGTCTGTATACATATGTAAATGTGATATTTCAAATTTGCAAACATTTCTAAAAACCTGTTTTGCTTTGTCATTATGGGGTATTGTGTGTAGATTGATGAGGGGAAAAAATGATTTAATCCATTTTAGAATAAGGCTGTAATGGAACAAAATGTGGAGAAAGTCAAGGGGTCTGAATACTTTCCGAATGCACTGTATATATTGTATTCTACTGTTTTCTAGTCAATGCCACTCTGACATTGCTCATCCTAATATTTACATATTCTTAATTCCATTCTTTTACTTTGAGATTTGTGTGTATTGTTGTGAATTGTTAGATATTACTGCACTATTGGTGCTAGGAACACAAGCATTTCACTACACCCGCAATAACATCTGCTAAATATGTGTATGTGACCAATAAAATGTTATTTTATTTGATATTGCAGAGTTATTAAGGACTCTTATTGTAGATTTGACCTTTTTATTGTTCCTAATGGCAAGCTTTGTGAAATCTCAACAAAGATGCAGGCTATGTGTTGTAATGTGCTATAATGATTTGTACCTTGGTTTGTCTTGCTGTTGGTTTTTCTTCACAATAATATAGCAGCTGGATTAATATTGTATAATCAAATATTTTGGGGGGGAATGTCGTACAAGAAAATCAAACCATTCAGACCTATTCAATTATTAAATATAGATAATGCTTAAAGATGTTTATCTTCTCCTTAGAAGGTACTCTTTGACCACATTTCTTGTAAACAAATAATGAAATACATGAAGCTATAAAATATCAGAAGAAAAACGTTTTTATTGCTTTTTAATAAAGGTTGTAGTCATTTGTCTTGGTGTTAAGCAAGAATACATACAAACATCAACACAGCAATCACATCAGAAACCCAACCCAATTTACAACATTTATTCTGGACTGATTGCGGATGTTTTTTGTAAAATAAAATATATATTATTCAGGTTTCATTCTAGCCATGTAGTTTGAAGAAATGAAACACATGCCTATAGAAATATTAAAATTGTGTGCTTCCTTATGTTCAGAACTAGTTTCAATTAGGTAAATGATGATCTAGATGTGGTTTACCCTCTTAGGACAGAACATTGACATAGTTGTGTCGTTCCCACACAATCTGTTCAAATTCACACTGGTGTGCAACCCTGTTAATCATTAACCTTCTGAGATAAAAGGCATCTTTTGGACACCAAAATACTTTCCCACAGTTTGTCCTCGGTGCCACATACAGTGCAAGCATCTGGGCAAACACACACCATGTACTGGTTCGTACAGATGGGAACACATAGGTCACGTTCCAGGTCGAGTACATCGCAGACGTTGCATTCATTCTATCAACCAATGGTTGTGTGCACGTCATCGACTGAGCAGCCAGGCATCAAATAGCTATACCATTATGATGTGGTTAGCTGATTTGTTGAACACCTATCCAGGCGTTGAGAGATCTGGCATGCGTCTGCAATGTAGCCGGCAGTGGTGTAGTGGAGGGTATATGCAGGTATACGCCTTATACCCAGATATTTTTCAGTGGGCATTGCGCATACTCACTTCTTAATCCCCACGATGCGTATCAAAGTAGTGTAGTGGAGGTATACGGCCTATCAAATAATAAGGCTAATGGAACAGATCAGAATGTTTTTGTTTAAAATGTTGATAAACGATTATTTCTTCAGAATTTCAGCGCAGCAATGTGCACACAGCGGTAGGCCCAGAACTGTGGGAATGTTCCAAAATGCAATTTGCGGGGGAAACACAACATCTGTTAGTAATTTAGAGGTGAGATCTAAAGATGCAACAACTATCATTGTTTGCTAATAAGACTAGGATAAAGCCTTTGGCTGCTAGATAATGAAAGAAAGTTGAAAGAGAACCAATAGGCTGGAACAGGAGAACACATATGAGGAAGTCTTTATAAAATATTGCTTCCATGCTTCTATGTTGGGATTTTGGCTATAGGCTACTTTCAAACAAGGTAAGACATGCCTCATAATATGAAGCATAATGTCCAGGTTGCAAACAATTAAAGAACAGGAAAAATATAGCAATGCTAATGATAGGTCTAACCATCTTCTGGCTTTCCCCAAAATTAAATGTTAACTAGCTACAAACTGTCCTATGCCTACCAGTGGCCATTTATTTTGCTTTACTCCATCTCAAACACTGCTAACCAAACAAAAGTGCTAGGTGACTGCACACTTGAATTAGAGGTTAATCTAGATTTATTAACTTTTTACCAGACCTCAAAAGTGGTCTCCGGATGTGGTTTAAGCATTGTTGTGGACATAGAACACTGTGTGACTTAGAGAGCGAAAACCTGAAAATAATTGGACAAATCAGAATAATGTGAAAAAATGTCTGACTCGGTTCACAGCCTCATTTATCTTGTTTCAATGGTAGGCCTACTTGCACAGTACAGCTTTGGTTGGCCTGACTGTGAAAGACCAATATAGGATTTATCATTTTAGGTAATTCTGAGTGTATGTCACTGTTTCTCATATAATGTTTTATACAGGGTGCCTTTGGAAAATGTTTGGCAAAATTAGAGTATCTCCAGGCACCACTACACCACTGGTAGTCGAACTTAACCATAATGTTGACCATGGGAGACTTCCAGGCTTGACAGTATTAGGACGTGCAGGAAAACATGCACTAGATGACCAAAAGTATGTGGACATCTCATTCCAAAATCATGGACATTAATATGGAGTTGGTCCCCCCTTTGCTGCTATAACAGCCTCCACTCTTCTGGGAACGCTTCCCACTAGATGTTGGAACATTGCTGTGGGGACTTGCTTCCATTCAGCCACAAGAGCATTAGTGAGGTCGGGCACTGATATTGAGCGATTAGTCCTGGCTCGCAAAAGGCGTTCCAATTCATCCTAAAGGTGTTCGATGGGGTTGAGGTCAGGGCTCTGTGCAGGCCAGTCAAGTTCGTCCACACCGATCTCGACAAACCATCTCTGTATGGACCTCGCTTTGTGCACGGGGGCATTGTCATGCTTAAACAGGAAAGGGCCTTCCCCAAACTGTTGCCAGAAATTTGGTAGCACAGAATTGTCTAGAATGTAATTGTATGCTTGTAGTGTTAACTGGAACTAAGAGGCCTAGCCCGAACCATGAAAAACAGACCCAGACCGTTATTCCTCCTCCACCAAAATTTACAGTTGGCACAATGCATTCGGGCAGGTAGCGTTCTCCTGGCATCCGCCAAACCTAGATTCGGCCGTTGGACTGCCAGATGGTTGAAGCGTGATTCGTCACTCTAGAGAACGCGTTTCCACTGCTCCAGAGTCCAATGGCGGCAAACTTTACACCACTCCAGGCGACGCTTGGCATTGCGCATGGTGATCTTAGGCTAGTGTGCGGCTGCTTGGCCTTGGAAACCCATTTCATGAAGCTCCCGACGAACAGTTCTTGTGCTGACGTTGCTTCCAGAGGCAGTTTGGAACTCGGTAGTGAGTGACAGATTATTTTTATACGCTTCAGCACTCAGCGGTCCCGTTCTGTGAGCTTGTGTGGCCTACCACTTCGCGGCTGAGCCATTGTTGCTCCTAGACATTTCCACTTCACAATAATAGCACTTACAATTGACCGGGGCAGCTCTAGCAGGGCAGAAATTTGACGAACTGACTTGTTGGAAAGTTGGCATCCTATGACGGTGTCATGTTGAAATTGCATTGCTGTGTGCTCGATTTTATACACCTGTCAGAAACGGGTGTGGCTGAAGTAGCCGAATCCACTCATTTGAAGGGTTTTGCACATACTTTTGTATATATAGTGTAAGTGGAGAGCCTGTGGTCCTTCTCACCAGAGAACCTCCGCCCAGTCACAATTTTATCTCCACTAGTGCTGACCGACCGTTATTCACCATGGGGCTCCGGTGTGGCGTTTTTGTTTTGCTGTTGTTTCCTCTGCTTTCCCATGGGGAAGTGACCTCCTTCACAAAATGCAGTCAGTTCTTTGTGAACCATGTTCCTCCTACGGTTCTCAGTGATCCTACGAACAATAATCGCTACCAGCAAATATGCCAGTGTCTCCTGGACAATAATAATAAACTGCAATACTTCTATGCCACACTCTACGACACCAAGAATAAGATTCCTGTGTATTCTGCCTACGAGCTTCAAAGTGCAGACATTGAACGAAAGGACTATTGGTATATCGAACCTCAGGTAGGCATATCATTGTATTTACTGACATGTATAGCATTTGTTTTCACACCTTAACATTTTTGTAACAGTTTGCTTGAAGTGGGGTATACAGTACACAAGGCATTCAGAAGGCCATTATGAGTGTTGCAGTATTTTCCATAACAACCTTCAATACACATTTATTCAATATCATTCAAAAGGAGTTTTCAAATTAGATCTTTATTTATCCATTTTACAATGTACATTGTTTTTTTTTACTGCCACAGTACCCAACCCTCTGACACAAAATAATGTAACAGGCGCAGGTTGTCATTTATTGGGATGACTCATGCACTGGAGGCAGCTCTGCAGAGTGGGCAATAGCTGGCACAGCCACAAAGTCATAAAATCTGATTTTATACCTAACCCTAACCTTAAACCTAACCTTAACCACAATGCTAAACCTAATGCCTAACCTTAACCTTTCATTAATTTTTACAATATAGCCAATTCTGGCTTTGCAGCTGACCCATCTAGTGAAAATCGCTCGATTCTGCCTCCAGGGCAAGATTCATTACAATAAATGTCAACATGCTTAACAGGCTGGGAGCAGCACAGGGTTAGCACAGGGTTAGAACAGGGTTAGCTGTCAGTGACTGTTGTACATCCTCTCTGATGATCTCTCAATTTGGCAGAATGCCACTGGGTAAACATTCCTTAGAAAATCATCATGAATTATCATATTCAATTCTGTACTTTTCTTAGACGATATCCGCGAGAAGGCGGATCTGAAGTAAACAGAGTACCTGGTCTAGAGCGAGTTCTGAAGCACCAGGCATACAGCATGTTCTCTGTCTAGATAAGCCAAAAACGTGTTTTTATGGTATATTGGGTTATAAAAATAACAATGTCTGTTGTACAATGGATACATAAAGATCTACTTGAAGGGACAATTATTTTTGAAAACTCCTTATGAATGATGTTGAATAAATGTTTTATGAAGGGTATTATGAATGATGATGCAATACCTATAAAGGTGTTAATGTCTTGAGTGTAGCCCCTTCAAGTAAAGTGTAACCTAAATGTCTATATATTAATGTCTATATATATATATTTTCAAACATACAGTATTTTGTGCATTCACCAACAAGCTACACAGACAGAACAATGGTATACATTTAGTATTTTAAGTTTTACGTGCATGTCACGCAAATTGCTTCATGAATTTCCACAGACTGATAAGACTGATAAGAAAATGTGTTGCCTGTAATCAATGACTTTCCTTGACTCTCACAGCTCGATGGTGGTAGTCACCTCTGCATGAGCGGACTGAACCAAATCCCATCCAACAATAGGGGTGACCACCAGGCCTTGAACCGAGACTACGAGAGCTCTGGCTACGACAAGGGCCATCTCTACCCCGTCCACCACACCTCCACCCATTCCTCCATGCTAGCCACCTCCACCCTGACCAACGCCGCTCCCCAAGACCCAGGCTTCAACCGGGGCCAGTGGAGGGTACATGAAGAGGACCTGGTTAAATTACTGAATAACGCCTGCTCCAAAGCCTATGTGGTCACGGGTGTAGTGCCTGGTGACACCCAGATAGGTGATGGTGTGAAAGTGGCTAAGTACTACTGGAGCGCATACTGTTGTGTTAGGGAGAGTGACACTACAGAGTCTGCAGGGTATGTTGGTCCTGATAACAATGGCAAAGTGCAAACGTTGACTGTGAATGATCTGGAGACTAGACTCAGTGGATATTATGGTTCACGTTTCTATGTGTTCCAAGGTAGATGCTAATGCTATATCAGCTAGCTAATGCTAATTTAATCTTGAACAACACTATAATTGTAACAATGATACATTTGACTGTTTTTAACACAAATTGTATTTTTGTTCAATAAAATACCAACTGTTCATCGTAATATGACAGCTGTATCTCCAGTATGTGTGAATTAGTTGACTTAGACAATGACAAGGATACTATTTTATGTAAATTAATATTTAATATAAATACTTGAGAAATATTCTGTAAATATCAGTAATTGATCATAAACATTTTATTATCTATTACATCATGTGTACCGTTCAGTAGATTCAATTCCTTTATATTTCAAGTCACATACTATCAAGTTTCACGTTTTATTAGTCGTATGTACAGGATACACATGGTATAAACCATCCAACAAAACGCTTACTTGCAGGTTTCTTCTCAACAATGCAACAACAATAACAAATAATACAATATTAGAATACGAACATAAAGTAAATGGCTCAGTAGAATATAATAAATATGTTAGCATCAGTATAATACAGGAAAGCACAATTTATAGTCCAATATTTACACGTGTTTCGGGGAAGGGGGGATTGGGGGGCAAGTGTTTAAATTGTGCAGTATTTAGCAATCATAATAAGAGTCTGGTAGCAGCAGTTGTGATGTGTGTGTAGCATGAATGTGTGTCGTCCAAAAAGTTATACTTTTGAATCATCTGTCCATAGAACATTCTTCCAAGTCTTGATGATCATCCAGGTGCTTCCGGGTGCTTTTTGTCAAACTTGAGTCGACTTTTTGGACGACATGGGTACCATTATGCCTGGCAAAAACCAAACTCTGCATTCCACAGTAAGAACCTCATACCAACGGTCAAGCATGGTGGTGGTACTGTGATGGTTTGGGGATGCTTTGCTGCCTCAGGACCTGGACGACATGCCTTAATAGAAGGAATCATGAATTCTGCTCTGTATCAGAGAATTCTACAGGAGAATGTCAGACCATCCGTCTGTGAGCTGAAACTGAAGCGCAGCTGGGTCATGCAGCAAGACAATGATCCAAAACACACAGTCAAGTCTACATGAAAATGGCTAAAAAGCAACAAATTTGAAGTTTTGGAATGGCCTAGTCAAAGTCCAGACCTAATCCCAATTGAGATGTTGTCGCAGGACTTGAAGTGAGCAGTTCATGCTTGAAAACCCACAAATGTAGCTGAGTAAAAGCAGTTCTGCATGCAAGAGTGGACCAAAATTCCTCCACAGCGATGTGAGAGACTGATCAACAACCACAGGAAGCATTTGGTTGCAGTCATTGCAGCTAAAGGTGGCACAACCAGTTATTGAGAGTAAGGGGGCAATTACTTTTTCACAGAGGGGAATTGGGTGTTGCATAACTTTGTTAATTAAATAAATAAAATAAGTATAAAGGTTCCCTTTACCTAATATTAGGTTTTGGTTAAAGATCTGGCAAATATTTTTTCACGCCACTGTATATGCCAACTTTGTCTGGAATATCTTTGTCAAGATTATTGTCCATTGGACAGCCCGGTTAACCATTGGCAGAGCTGAGAACCAATTGTCCCTTCCTGTTAGCAGTTGCCCTGGTAACACCAAGTTACTCAGTCATCCTTATTCTCCACATGAACCTCCCAGTAGGTCCTCCAAGCACTACCCATAATGCCCAACACATACAGTAGGGGTCTTCATCATCTTGTTTCTCACAGTCAATCAGTCTCTGTGGTATTTCCTTTTTCCAGCACTTTCCCATCCTCTGATATCTGCAGGTTATGATCAGATGTCTATAAATCCAGAGTAAAATCCACTGAGGATAACAGAAGTTACACACAGTTGAATAATACTTTTTTTTCCATAGCAATTCAGTTTACAGAAATGGCCAGACATGTATTTAGAAATTACTTGAGTGTACAAAGAGGCAGGACGCAGACGCAGGAATTAACAAGGTCAAGGTTTACTTAACAATGACAAAGAGACATAACAAAGATAGAGTAAACGACACGACGCTAAAAAATCACACACAACATTCCAGAACAGTCCAGGGCTAAATAGGGTGGTGATGAGATGATGAGGTGCAGGTGCGCTGGAGGTGATTAGGGTGCGTTGGGTTTCCATTCCGGTGTTGCAGAGGTGGTGCGCTCAGACCGGTGGCTCAGTAGACCGGCGAATCAGAGCGCCGGAGGGGAGCAACGGGAGGAGATGTGACAACAACAATAATTTAGTCAATAGTCATTATTTTTGAAGAAATGACATTTTGCTGAAGACATGTAGGCATAATATGTTAAGAATTTACTAAAAGCGATAGCTTACTACTATCAGAATGAAATTAGTGAACAAAGAGAAAAGTAGTACAAAGTGTCATAGTATGAAAAATGTATGCACTCACTTACTGTAAGTCGCTCTGGATAAGAGCGTCTGCTAAATGACTAAAATATAAATGTAAATATTGAATTCAGTATTATTTTGTTCTATTGAAAATAGAATCATGTCCAGATGACTGTCTGCTGGTCTGCACTGTTGCATCTATTACTGCAATGGTAAATCAGAATAAGGTTAGCTAAATATGATCTGTAAAGACAACATCAGATGCTGATTAGATACATTAGTATATTACCTTCAGGTGAGCGTTTCAGGTTTATATCTGTAAAATTATATTGCAATTAGGAACACATTGAAAGAGTTATACAAAGTCCCACATTTTAATTGTATTAGCGTTCTGATTAGTAGACTATATAAATGTTATAATTAGCTACCGGTTGATTGTTCCATGCATCAACTTATGCATCAACTTCAAAAGGTATTTTATTAGGATCCCCATTAGCTGTTGCAAAAGCAGTAGCTACTTCTCCTGGTGTCCACACAAAACATGAAACATGACATAATACAGAACTTTAATAGACAAGAACAGCTCAAGGACAGAACTACATCAATTTTAAAAAGGCACACGTAGCCTACATATCAATACATACACAGTCTGGCATGCTAGTTGGCTGTGGCGTCATATGACTAGGTGCCCTGGACGGTTTGCACGGAAGAATACTGTACCAAGTTAGCTAGCTGAATAAACTAAGTTAGTCTATTCCTAGAAAACATTGAACCGCTGTAGTTTACAACAATGATAGTTTCTGAGGTGGAAGTTGGGAGAGTAATATTTGGGTGTTTCAGTGAAACGTAAGTGAGGGAGGCCCCGCTCTCTTGCTTTCCCAGATGTTTAGTTCATTTCGTTCCGATCTCCTTTGCATTATTGTAGCCATTTTCTGTAGCCTGTCAACTATGCCTCTGTCTATCCCTGTTCTCTCCTCTCCGCACAGGCTATACAAACGCCTCACACGGCGTGGTTGCTGCCTCTCTAACCTGGTGGTCGCTGCACGCACGACCCACGTGGAGTTCCAGGTCTCCAGTCCCTCGACTTCTTGGCGCTGACGGAAACATGGATTACCACTGAAAACACTGCTACTCCTACTGCTCTCTCCTCATCTGACCATGTGTTCTCGCATACCCCGAGAGCATCTGGTCAGCGGGGTGGTGGCACAGGAATCCTCATCTCTCCCAAGTGGACATTCTCTCTTTTTCCCCTGACCCATCTGTCTATCTCCTCATTTGAATTGCATGCTGTCACAGTCACTAGCCCTTTCAAGCTTAACATCCTTGTCATTTTTCGCCCTCCAGGTTCCCTTGGAGAGTTCATCAACGAGCTTGACGCCTTGATAAGTTCCTTTCCTGAGGATGGCTCACCCCTCACAGTTCTGGGTGACTTCAACCTCCCTACGTCTACCTTTGACTCATTTCTCTCTGCCTCCTTCTTTCCACTCCTCTCCTCTTTTGACCTCACCCTCGCACCGTCCCTCCCTACTCACAAGGCAGGCAATACGCTTGACCTCATCTTTACTAGATGCTGTTCTTCTACTAATCTCCCGCTACTCTCTCCTCTTCCATCCTATCATCTCTTCCCTCTGCTCAGTCCTTCTCCCTCCAATCTCCTGATTCTGCCTCCTCAACCCTCCTCTCCTCCCTTTCTGCATCCTTTGACTCTCTAAGTCCCCTATCCTCCCGGCCGGCTCGGTCCTCCCCTCCTGCTCCGTGGCTTGACGACTCATTGCGAGCTCACAGAACAGGGCTCCGGGCAGCCGAGCGGAAATGGAGGAAAACTAGACTCCCTGCGGACCTGGCATCATTTCACTCCCTCCTCTCTACATTTTCTTCATCTGTTTCTGCTGCTAAAGCCACTTTCTACCACTCTGAATTCCAAGAATCTGCCTCTAACCCTAGGAAGCTCTTTGCCACCTTCTCCTCCCTGCTGAATCCTCCTCCCCCTCCCCCCCCCCCCCTCCTCCCTTTCTGTGGATGACTTCATCAACCATTTTGAAAAGAAGGTTGACGACATCCGATCCTCGTTTGTTAAGTCAAATGACACTGCTGGTCCTGCTCACACTGCCCTACCCTATGCTTTGACTTCTTTCTCCCCTCTCTCTCCAGATGAAATCTTGCGACTTGTGACGGCCGGCCACCCAACAACCTGCCCGCTTGACCCTATCCCCTCCTCTCTTCTCCAGACCATATCCGGTGACCTTCTCCCTTACCTCACCTCGCTCATCAACTCATCCTTGACCGCTGGTTATGTCCCTTCCGTCTTCAAGAGAGCGAGAGTTGCACCCCTTCTCAAAAAACCAACACTCGATCCCTCTGATGTCAACAACTACAGACCAGTATCCCTTCTTTCTTTTCTCTCCAAAACTCTTGAGCGTGCCGTCTTTAGCCAACTCTCTTGCTATCTCTCTCAGAATGACCTTCTTGATCCAAACCAGTCAGGTTTCAAGACTGGTCATTCAACTGAGACTGCTCTTCTCTGTGTCACGGAGGCTCTCCGCACTGCTAAAGCTAACTCTCTCTCCTCTGCTCTTGTCCTTCTAGACCTGTATGCTGCCTTTGATACTGTGAACCATCAGATCCTCCTCTCCACCCTCTCCGAGTTGGGCATCTCCGGCGCGGCTCACTCTTGGATTGCGTCCTACCTGACCGGTCGCTCCTACCAAGTGGCGTGGAGAGAATCTGTCTCCGCACCACGTGCTCTCACCACTGGTGTCCTCCAGGGCTCAGTTCTAGGCCCTCTCCTATTCTCGCTATACACCAAGTCACTTGGCT